AAATAATACCGTAAGTTCACTAGTCGTTAACTATTCTAAAGACTGGTTGAAAAGTGAAAGTTGAAATTAATTACTGCAGTGATTTAAATAATACCGTAAGTTCACTAGTCGTTAACTATTCTAAAGACTATTTGAAAAATAAAAGTTGAAATTCATTACTGTAGTGATTTAAATCAATAATACCGTAAGTTCGCTAGTCGTTAACTATTCTAAAGACTAGTTGAAAAATGAAAGTTGAAATTAATTACTGTAGTGATTTAAATCAATAATACCGTAAGTTCGCTAGTCGTTAACTATTCTAAAGACTAGTTGAAAAATAAAAGTTGAAATTAATTACTGCAGTGATTTAAATAATACCGTAAGTTTACTAGTCGTTAACTATTCTAAAGTCTATTGAAAAATAAAAGTTGAAATTAATTACTGCAGTGATTTAAATAATACCGTAAGTTCACTAGTCGTTAACTATTCTAAAGACTAGTTGAAAAATGAAAGTTGAAATTAATTACTGTAGTGATTTAAATCCCAACTAGTCTTTAGAATAGTTAACGACTAGTGAACTTACGGTATTATTTAAATCACTGCAGTAATTAATTTCAACTTTTATTTTTCAACTAGTCTTTAGAATAGTTAACGACTAGCGAACTTACGGTATTATTAAAAATAAAAGTTGAGATTAATTACTGCAGCGTGTTTTACTGATCAACTGTACAATATTTAAAAGTAAACTGCTTATATTATTTATTATATTAGCTTCTTTGTTGACGACGTGAAATGTAGCTAAAATCATCTCGATGCAAGAAATGAGATTTTAGCTAAGTCTGGTATACTATTTTTAGTATGTGCATCTATTTATACAAATTATAAGAACTTATAAGTGAGTGCAAAGTCGAATGCGTAACAATATATAAACCACATCACACCTATGCTATATCTGGTGTCGACGAGGTCTTTCGTGCAATACCAGTGTTCCTCAGACTAGCTGGGATACGACAGACAAATGAGTTAACGTTGGTCAGTAAAAACTTGGAATTCTTCTACAACAATTTTCTCTATATAGATCTGGACAGTTTGAAACCTATATCGCCATAGACTAAAACACTACATTTAATTTTTCTGTTTTACTCTGTGTATGGTGATGAACTATATATTTAATTCTAACCAGTTTTCAGTTACCGAAGTTACGCCTTGTCTTGTAAATGCACGAAATCGTTCCATATTTCATTCGTGTGCGTTTATCCACGACGTCTTTATATATTTTTAGTTTGAAATTTTTTGCCAGCCCATTAAAATCGTTTATTTAATTCTTTCCAAGAGTTTTTACTCGTTTCATAACTATTTACGCATATTCCTTAATTCCTACTTTCGAACAATATACTCTGACAAACGAAAACTGTTCTCAATTAACATAGATGGCGTTCTCTGATGGAATTTTAACAACTAGTTAATAGGCTTTGAAATTCCCTCTCTCTCGACCAATGTTTGTGGTGAGAGAAAGAACTACAAGAACGTGAATAATATATCCGTTGAATAATTTAAAATTATAAATTAATAAAATTATGATTACGTATTCTAAAAAGGCCTATATAAACATAAGTTCACAGTAGTCAGTAAAAGACCAATTTAATATTGCACATACAATGCTGCACCATATAACATTACTAAACTAACTGACAAGTTCAACGTTCTTATCTTTATTTATTTTTACACGTATACACCACAATAATGCCACTGTAGGTTTGATGTTTCAACTAACTGTAAAAGTGTATATTTTCAAGTGTAGCAATTGTGCCATGCTTGACGTAACAGCTCAAAGCGTTCTCATTGGTGCTACAAGTCAATGTTTGTTATGTTTTTTTTTACAAAATTTTGGTCATTTTAATCGCTGATTGTCTGCAGATCTATTGGCTCTACATATTTTACAGAATGCTCTAAATGCCAACTTCAAAATTAATCAGACATTCAGGTTTTGACTACTCAAAAAATTCTAAAACGATCGCACTAATACAATTAGACATACAGTATATAAAGCGATTCACTGCAGTTACTAACTTTCACGTTCCTAACCAAGGAACATTACTTAGATATAAATGCAGGTATCACATTAGTACGACTGTGGCTTCATATACATTAACCTACATATTTTTAGAAATGCACAACTGAAGTTTTATTAAAAATGGACCAGAGGTTTTCTATTTATTACCATTGCTTGCAAAGTGGTTACAATGCATGTGTAGACAAACGCTAATTTAATACGTGTTAAATTTATGGTGACAGCAAGAAAGCTTGTTTTGTTTGTTTTTTGAATTTCGCGCAAAGCTACACGAGGGCTATCTGCGCTAGCCATCCCTAATTTAGCAGCGTAAGACTACAGGGAAGGCAGCTAGTCATCACCACCCACCGCCAACTCTTGCGCTACTCTTTTACCAATGATTAGTGGGATTGACCGTCACGTTATAATGCCCCCACGGCGGAAAGGGCGAGCACGTTTATTGTAACGGGTATTCAAACCCGTGACCCGCAGATTACTATTCGAGCGCCCTAACTACCTGGCCATGCCGGGCCAGCAAGAAAGCTACGCCTAAAAGATGCAGAGGCATCGTAACAGGGGTTACTGTTGTTGCTGTAGCACTCCCCACTTTTATATAATTGACTTGTATAGCAACTGTAAATTATATTATTATATATTAATTTTCTGGGGGGGCATGCCCCCAGACTTCCTAGATTGAGCTACCTTTGGCAACACGGTGTCTGCTTTTAGTAGCTCCTTATAATTTCAATCTCTCATTGTAAAATCTGCATGTCTAGCCAAGCACGCCCACTTTGGAACTCCGTCTTACACCACTGGATGGACGACATATTGAAGCTGTACAAAATATATAAAGAAAATCCCTATTATACTAAATGTACTATAGAAAGGTAAAACTTATTAACAATATATAAAAAAGTTCAGTATAATATCCTGTTTACTTTTCTTGAGTTAATTTATATACATATTATTTTGTTAGATCTGAATATTTACATCATTAGCCACTTTCGAATCATAATTGTAAATACTGTATAAACGTCGCAATAAAAAAATTACCTCATTAACGTTAAAGATGGTAGTGAGCTCACTGTAAGCACCTTATTTACTTTTTACTTTTTTACCTAAGCAAACCTCGCGTTCGGCGTGTTTGTAGAGCCTGCCATTTGTAGAATAGATTTTCGTTATTTTCATGATCGAACCATCTAAACTTCATTTTCTGGAGTGCAACTTTTTCAGTTCTATATCGTAGAGGTAGAGCAAATATGGGTTGGGCGTGGCTTATTGATTAGTGTGCTCGGGCTATGAATCCAAGGATTGGTGGTTCACGTCCCGTTTATGCAAAAATGCGTTCCGCACTTTGGGACTGTAGGTGCCCCATAAGAGTAATATTTAAATATTACTATTTGGTCAGACAAGATTAACCCAGAAGTTTGTGGTGGTTGCTGTTGACTAGTTGCCTTCCCTTGATTCTCTAGTCCATCAGTTCAAAATTAGGGTCGGCTATTCACAGAGAATCGTTTGTGAAGCATAGATTTACGGAATAGCGTTTATAATTTGTCTAAAATAAATTTATTCCGCGCTTCCTGGTAGTATACATTTGTTTGTTTCTAGGTAAGCACAAAGCTACGCGATGGGCTATATGTGCTATGCTCACCAGAGATATCGAAACCCAGTTTCTAGTGTTATAAGTCCGCAGACTTGAAGCTATTATACCACGGGGGGGGGGGGGTGCTAATATATTTTACAAATTATCTAAATCGTAACTGTGGTTTTCGATCATGTTTTATTATTATTATTGTTTATCAGCATTTGTTGTAATGTAATTATTCAGCAAGTTGTTCCCAGTGGTAAGCCTCATGATTCAGCTTATAACACTAAAATTGAGGATACGATTTCCACTGTGCAGGTATCTCTTGTTAGAGTTGAACATCTTTGTGAAGAAGGAAAAGAAAACGCTTTGATAATTTTTATTACCACTTACAAGAAAATATTATTATTTAAATACCAACATAATTACCCCCCTCTCTCCAGTAGCTCAGTTTTACGTCTGAAGACTTATAACGCTAAAAGCTGTGTTTCAATACCCGTGGTGGGCATTGCACGGATGGCACATTGCGTAGCTTTGCGCTTAGCAACAAACAAACAAACAAACATAATTATTCGAATCATTTGAATACCCTATGATTGATGCGGATAGCGTTACAAATATTTCTTCCTGAAACAACTTTGCATAACTCGGGGATTTTCAAACTGTGGTATGTGTAGCTAATATCTGTGGTACACGACACAATTAATATAAAAAATCTTATATTAATTATTGTAACCGGTATTTTCTTCTGGTTTCAATATCTTAAGGATTGTAACCGGTACTTTCTTCTGGTTTCAATATATTAAGGATTGTAACCGGTATTTTCTTCTGGTTTCAATATACTAAGCATTGTAACTGGTATTTTCTTCTGGTTTCAATATATTAAGGATTGTAACCGGTATTTTCTTCTGGTTTCAATATATTAAGGATTGTATCTGATGTTTTCTTCTGTCCTTTGCAGATGACGAACCGATTTTTCAAGAAGTGTTCCAGGAACAAACGCTTCAACCAGGATCTTCACTATCACTGAAATGCATTTCTCAAGGTAATCCTTTACCTCAAGTCACGTGGTTACTGGATGGTATGTCCCTTCCTACCAATCCTCGCTTCTCCTTAGGTGATTACGTTACGGAAGACCAAACAGTAACAAGTTATGTGAATATCTCCAGTGTACGGCCAGATGATGGGGGAGGTTACCAGTGTATAGCTAAGAACGATGTAGGTGAGGTTCGACATATGGAGAAAATACGGGTGTATGGACCCCCGTTCATCAGACCCATGAAAAATAAATCTGTTTTAACTGGCGAGATTCTAGTGATTCAGTGTCCAGTGGGTGGCTACCCAATTGAGTCGATTATCTGGGAAAGAGGTGAGTTTCAAATACCAATTTTAAATAAATTATTAAAGAAAGTTCATTTTAATATAAACATAATTTGTCAAAAATACTTACAAAATATCGTTTTCCTCCTTCTTCTGCGTGTGTATTTTCCTTAGACAGCGGTAATTATATCCTGTTTTAAAAAAAAGCTTAGATATAGAATTTGTTCCTGAAATATCGTTATGATCCCTGTTATCTTTAGGACTTGTTGTTAGAATATTGTTATGATCTCTGTAATCTCTAGGACTTGTTGTTAGAATATATTTATGATATCTGTTATATCTTGGGTCTGTTGTTAGAATATATTTACGATATCTGTTATATCTTGGGTCTGTTGTTAGAATATATTTACGATATCTGTTATATCTTGGGTCTGTTGTTAGAATATTCTTATGATACTGTTATATCTTGGGTTTGTTATTAGAATATATTTACGATGTCTGTTAAATCTTGGGTCTGTTGTTAGAATATATTTACGATATCTGTTATATCTTGGGTCTGTTGTTAGAATATTCTTATGATACTCTTATCTCTAGGACTTGTTGTTAGAATATTCTTCTGATATCTATTATCTCTTGGGTTTATTGTTAGAATATTATTATGATCTTATTTTATTTCTCTTCATTTCTGAATAATGTTTCATTCTTTTTGTCAAGAGTTTAATTTGATTTCAGGACAATAACATGTGAAGACCTCTTCAGGCCATAATAACTTTCGGCGAAATGGCTCAACCTTGATGTCATTATTCCTTTATGACGTCACTTTCTTGATGATTCCATATAATGTTAACTATAAAGCCTCGTAATTGTGTCTGTATATATGGTAAAGTACAATACTCTACTATGTAATTCAACTAACTACATGCTTTTATTGCATTATATTTCAGGATGAAATTAAAATTTTATCTATCTAACCACGTGGTTCACTATGAACGTCAAAGCCGCCATATTGTTAAAACTAAACACCCGTTTGAAACTGTGATTATAATCTAAATTTAATCCTTTGTTTACCGGCAGTCCTCCAAGATAAGATAAATTCGTATGATGACTTGCAGGTAGAATCTCCAGACCCCTGTCGTAGTGGGTTTGTTAAATCTTTTAAACAATCATGTCGTTTACCATCACGG